CTCATTCAGAAAGGAGATATTTATCTTAATTTCACAATCAAATGATACTCTAGTTGTATCGTTTGTGAATTTCCAATGATGTTGCACTTGGGATATGGCACAACACAATCAGCTTTTAGTAATGTCTTCTTCTGTTCAAAATGTTAAGAGTTGATTGTGAGGGTGGTTGTAACTACCTTATTAAAGCATAAATTACACACTTGGTAGCATTTTCATATATACTTAACAGTTTAGGAACGTATATATGTTCAGGTCCTAAGTTCCACATCTTCAAACTGCAACGATAGCAAATATCACATGCGTGTAGATCAATTATATTTCTTGCATGTATAAATCACTCCAGTATCATTTTCATCATAACATTTCAAACTAGTCTTAATGTTACATTTCACTTGTATGCACGAGTACCTAAGCTCAGGATTATGTCCCAACATTTAACTAAATTTTGCATGCAGCTAACTAGTAACCAATCAATATCAATTTCAATTTCAACTCACATTTTTATTTTGTTCATATCTTTCAAAATTAAACTAGTCAAAACTTACTTCCTTTTTAATTGATTTTAAGCATAAAATTACTATTTCCTTCCATATTATATATATATAGGTACTCCCTCAATTTTATTTAGTTGTCTTATTTATTAAATATGAGTATTTTTTATTTCCGGAGAACAATAATGCTTTTGTTCCAACATTAACCGTCTTACTCTAACCTATGAAAAGATAAAGGGGTTTGGCTTTAATGAGAATGAATTGTAAAGGGTAAATATGGTATTTTAATACTTAATGATTACGCTTTTAGTAGGTCCCAATATTGCCTCTTTAATTGTACAACTCTAAATTCCACCCACCATATTATAGCAAACGATTTTTTTAACTTATATGCTATAGTGATGTGTTTATTATATTTATTATATTGTTTATTAATAATTTTTATAAAAAATTATAAAAATAAATTTTTTTTTCGACAATGATACTATGTATAATATTTTATTTAAATAATTAATAAAATTAAAATTAATTTTTATTTTTTAATATAAATTAATAATAAATATATATAATAAATATATCCTTAATTTATAACCTGAAAATTCTATTAACAAATACAAAACATCTCGGGAACTTTCGAAATATATGATTTTTTTTCAAGCTACTACCTTTGCTTTCTCATTTAAATTTAGAATGCAAATGAGAGAATTTTGAGCTAAATATTTAAATTTATGTAATCCTTCAACAAACAATACTTAGTAAGTATTAAACACACTCCACTAAGATTCTTAAAAGAAAAAAGCATGTGACCATTTATTGGTTGTTCCGCGTAGCGTTACTTAAAGCAAATAGGTTGCTCCACTAAAGTACCTAGAAGCAAAAGGCATGTGACCATTTATTAGTTGTTGCGTTATCCTAAACAAGTTACTACAAAGAGCACAAAATTAGGAATTAGCAAGAGGTCAACAAGAGGATAACAGATAATGTATGAATTGTATATTCAATGAAATTACTTGTCAATTTCTTAAAAAGGTGGAAAGATGATGTTTATGTGGATGTGTGAAAGAACGTAATAATTTAATAATAAAATAAAAATAAATAAATAAATACACAAAAAAAAGTGTGAAAGCTAAATGATTAC